TAGTTTATCGTCTTACACAGGGTGTAGTTTATCGTCTTACACAGGGTGTAGTTTATTGTCTTACACAGGGTGTAGTCTATCGTCTTACCTTGGGTGTAGTTTATCGTCTTACACAGGGTGTAGTTTATCGTCTTACACAGGGTGTAGTTTATTGTCTTACACAGGGTGTAGTCTATCGTCTTACCTTGGGTGCAGTTTATCGTCTTACACAGGGTGTAGTTTATCGTCTTACACAGTGTGTAGTTTATTGTCTTACACAGGGTGTAGTCTATCGTCTTACCTTGGGTGTAGTTTATCCTCTTACACAGGGTGTAGTTTTTCGTCTTACACAGAGTGTAGGTTATTGTCTTACACAGGGTGTAGTCTATCGTCTTACCTTGGGCGTAGTTTATCGTCTTACACAGGGTGTAGTTTATCGTCTTACACAGGGTGTAGTTTATTGTCTTACACAGGGTGTAGTCTATCGTCTTACCTTGGGTGTACTTTATCGTGTTACACAGGGTGTAGTTTATCGTCTTATTGCTAATTGGAGATATTAAAAACAAACGCTTACATCAATTTAAATACTCGGGAAGTTTTTTAACAGAGAACAGATAGTGTGACAGTGAAATCCTAAAATAGCTAAAAATGCCTACCAAAACCTAAACAAAGTAGTAAAGAACATAAAGAAATATCGTTAGAAATAGAGAAAATAGTAATGGACTTTTATGTAAAACCAGTCTTTCTATATGGCAGTAAATATTAGAGACATTCCTTACAGATAAAAAGAGACGTGAAGTAATAGAAATATGGTTCTACAGATGGAAATAAAAGAGGGAAAATAGGTTGAAAATTCGAGCAACGACGAATTTTTACAGAAATTGGACCAATCAGTTATGTGCCATGCGTGATACACGCTTAGGTGAACATGTATCTTTTGATGCATGACTGATGAGGCAGATTTTTTTCCCGCAGTAGGTTACCGTTTATTTCTGCAGTAGACCAGTTGCCATCCAACCGGTTTGGATTTATTTACTCATACATGGGGGGAGAAGAAGAGGATTCATAACTTTCCCAAGGGTATTGTCACGTAAGTGCATGTAATGGATTCGACTGAAAAGTCAGACAGTCAGTTACGTGCCATGCGATCATGTATCTTGACCACTTATCCTTAAAATGAGGGAGAGAGGATTGAAATTTCTAGGATAAATAATGAGGAAAGAGGGCTTCGAAAATTTGACACACAGACCAGATTGAAGGCAAAGTACTCAGATTCCAATAATGCATAATCGACATAGAGATACGTGACTGACGAGGCAGATTTTTTCCCGCAGCAGTTTGCCGTTTGTTTCTGCGGTAGACCAGTGGCCATAGGCTACAGAACCCGGTCTGTCCTGATATTGACTGGGTGGGGGAGAAGAAGAGCATTCATACCTTTCCCAATGGTATTAGCACGTAAGTGAATGTATTGGATTCGACTGGAATTCGAACTCGACTCTCCGATTCCTCAGCCTGAGCCGCTATTCATTACTCCACCGTGCTTTCAGAAAAAAAAATCGACCACTTATCCTTAAAATGAGGAAGAGAGAATTGAAATTTCTAGGACAAATAATGAGGAAAGAAGGCTTCGAAAATTTGATACACAGACCAGATTGCAGGCAAAGTACGCAGATTCCAACAATGCATAATCGACCTAGAGATGGCGGAGCAGGGTTTAGCAGAGATACGAAAAGACAAAATTTGTTAAGAGTTACAAGAAATTGTGGAGATCCAAGAAGAATATTGAAGTACTATTTAGAAAAGACTCTTGTGCAGTCGGTGCCTGCTCATAATAATAAATATATTACGCTGATTGCCAGGGTGTGATCAAATAACGAACGTTTCTAGCTCTTCCGTACAGTGTCATTGAAGATTGGCACATATCCAAACAGGCGTTGTTTTCGACGTTGCTGCTCGGTCCGGTGGTGTTTATTAATCCACGCTAAGAGAGTCACCACTTCCCACCTCAACCATTCAACGTCTCCTAATCCAACTTTTATGTCACCTGCTCTTCATCAAAGTTGAGAAGCAATTTCTGTCATGACACGTCGGTTTCGTTTTCTCCCCGGCGAGTGAAGTATAACACTTTTCGGCAAGATCAATTCTCTGGCCCAGATTTCCAACCACTTACTTGATTGTGACCGTCGAATCTTGGAGAAAACTGAATATTTTTACCTTTTTAACAATCAAATAGAGACAGCTAAATTGTCCGAGGTAACAACGCTTAGAAAATTTAATATTCACATGTATATTTACAGCTAGGATGCTATTTATATTCGGACTATTTTCCTAATTTTTGTTCTTTTTATCGCATCGTTGTGCTCTCCGGGCTTCCTCAGGTGTATATCAATCCGGGTCACCTACAGGGAAATTCAGATCTGAACCCTTTATTTAACACTAGGATGGCCAGCTTCTTTGACATCTTTATTTACATTACGCCGTGAAGCAGCTATCTTTAATATATTCAATATTCAAGTCAGGAATAACAAGTCTGAAAAGAAATTCACAAATATTAGTATACCTCACACTGAAAGAAAGTGATTATATATATATATATATATATATATATATATATATATAAATATAAAATATAAATTATGTGTGTGTGTAGATAGATAGGTAAATAGATAGATAGGTGACATAAACACAAGTATTATTGCTTGTGAGAAATTTTTCAATGCATTTACCCTATCAATAGCCTAGGTGTCAAAAACGACACCTCGGCTATTCAAGGTAAAACCTCAAATATCAGCTATTCCACTGAATATTTTTTTAAAGAATTAAGTCTGTTAAGCATCTTTGCTAAAATTCAATAATTTTCCATAAGCCTCAGCATCGAAGCAAAATTAGTTATTCCATAGTAATTTGTTGAAAATTCGAAGGTGTCGAAAACGACACCTCGGCCATCCTAGTGTTAATCTACGGAGGTAGACTGTTCTCGTTGCACTACTCATGTCCAGGGATATCGTATAGTCCTTATTTATCCGGGACAATGGCTTAGTTGGTAAAAGAATTGGGTTATAAATTCGATGACACAGCAGTCGTGAGTTCAATCCCTGGGTCGGGCAGTGTGTACTTGCACTCAGTGGAAACGTATGAAAAATAAATAAACAGAGTTAAATAAATTAAGAACTACACGATATATACATTGTAGTTTTCAATGAAGCATCCTCGTGGAACATTTTTTTCCACAAAGTAGCAGTTATCAGAGAGAAGCTAAGTAGAAATATCTGTTTACATTTGAAATAGAGGGGAAACGAAGTGGATTTGACTCAGTGGATGTGGCATTTCCTAGTTGTAAATGTCTGAACTTGTGAAAGATAAGGATAGTTCACATTTGGACATTTGTTATAGAAACAGAGTAGCGATCGGCCCGAGTTGGTTTTAAGGGTATGATTGATTGATTTAATTTTTACGGCTTATCAACTCTTTGCAGATTATTTAAGACCAGAAAATATTTTTATAGAGATAATAATGATTTACTGATACAAGACCTACTAATTAACCCATAGCTGGAGGTAAATAAGCGGATTCTATTTAACCCATACCTATGGGGCGAGACGGTAGATTACTGGAATTGAAATTCGGATCTCCGATTTCCAATTCCAAGCCGTTATCCGTGCACATCATCCGCACATCCAAGCTTACAGCAGATTAAATGAATTGACAAAGATCATGTTGAATATAAAACATACAGTAAAAATAAATAATGTGTTTTCATACCTACGTTTAAACAGGATAGTGGGTTTCACTAAATGTCAACATTTTCTGTCTATATTTCTGAGATGAGTTATTGTAACTAATAACATTTTTTTCGGATTATTGTCCTCATTTTCTTTGTCATATTCACGACGTCTCGGCCGTTGTACGCTCCGAACATCGACAAAAAGCCGGAGCGTTCAACAGCTGATACGGCGTGTATATGACAATGACGATGAGGACAATAGTTGGAACAATGTAAATAGTGTAAATATGTTGGAATCATACGTATTATAAAACCCAGGTTGTGTGTGTGTGTGTGTGTGTGTGTGTGTGTGTGTGTGTGTGTGTGTGTGTGTCTGTACGTTTATATATTGGATCGGATTTCCTATATTTTTCAACCGATTTCAACAAAACTTCACAGGACTACGTAAAATTACCTTGCGGTGGTTCTGACAGCGTCAAAAATTGGAAAAACACAATTGTTTTTGCAACGAAATCAATTTGAAAACACGATTAAGAGGCATCGCTTTCGCGGAATGAAAGGGGAACAACTCATATCGAGTTATACTTATTATAAAACCCAGGTTTTTTGTGAGTGTGTGTCTGTGTTCGTTTATATATGGGATCGGATTTCCTACATTTTTCAACCGATTTCAACAAAACTAAACTTTTTTATTTGGCATGTAGTGTTTCTTATTGTCTTGCACACTTTTTTCTTTATTTTTATATTCAGAATGCTTTAAAAATTCCATTTACAAGACAATTGTTTATAATAAAATTCTATTCAATCGATAGACTCATAACGATTGAAAACAATGTTTTTGTTAGAGTTTGGGTTTGACCAATTCGTAAAAAAAATTAAAAAAAAAGAAATGAAAAATAAAACTAATTAAGACATGCGTGTCCGTCAACCTTAAACAATAATCTTTGTCAATTTTATTTTTCAGTCTTTATGATGGTCGATACTTGATCTATCCTTTACTGTTACATGCCCGGGCAACGCCGGGATCTACTGCTAGTATTTAATATTTAAAAGTCAATATAAGGAAACCGACTGAAATTGAAACTCGTCTCACCGATTAACAGTTACGAGCCGCGTTATCCATTAGACAAGCGCACACCCAAGCTTTCAGCACCTGGTATTACCCAGAAGTCACAGATCTAGAAATCGAACGAGAATCTGTTTTTCAATATGATATGGCCATAAAGCCTTTGCGAGGGAGAGCGAGAAAGATTTTGATCAACTTTATCAAGGCGAGAAACTAAGGCCTTGAAAACTGATGTTATCTGGAGACGCTCATTTCCCGTTCCGCGCCAATAACCATTACACTATCTTTACATCCGCTCAGTTCTTAAATATGAGCAAAGGTAATTAATTTGCTTAAATTAAGAGAAAAAAAAAACTAGGAAAAAATAAAATTTGCTAAAAATTAGATTAACAATGACATTCCATTTGCAAATCTAATGGGTTTGCTATGGTTGGTTTTAGTTGTATATCAGTCCATATCGGTTATTTAATACCGTAATCTAAATATGAAAATTCAAACGTTATAATTTATTTAAGATAATGACATTATTACATGATCAAATCATAATTACTTAGCTGCATTTTTATACCCAAATAATTTTACAAAATCAAACGAGAAATGCACACGTTTCTTTTTACAAGAAATGTGATTAATCATAGCACATTTTTTTATTTTAATTTTTAATAATCTTTTTGGCAATGTATGTATCTTCAATTTTACTTTAAGCTTGTCAGAACGTCATATTTCAAGTGTATACTGTAAATTTAGATAACCTTGTTTAAGTGATAAGTGATGAAGAAAATCAAGTCTGACATAAGGCCATAGACCAATTGCATTCTGTAAGTTTAAGCATTCTTGACTAACCCACCAAAACCTGTCCACACTGGCCGTTGACTAGGAAACTCTCTGTATATCGACGCTGTGTCAGCGATGCTCTGGCTGCATACATAGCAATGGACCCCGATGTACCCCAGTGTTCTAGATGGCTGTTGACCTTACAAGAAGGTCTATACGCCCTTTGATAGGGTTTGTTTTAACTCTGCTGGCTTCCTAGCTAGCTTCCTCACCAGAAAATACTGAAGAGGAATCGATTATTTATTTTTTTTTTACAAATGACCTTAATATATAACTAAACCGGTTTCTCCATCAAGATTTTCTATTGGTGAAACAGTTATAAATGCATGGTGAGGGATATTGGAGGCAGTTTAAGAGCGCTGTACACTACCCATTACCCAACAAATATTTACATAGTCTCTGAGACGGCGTCTTTTCTCCTGACAACGTTAGGAAATTTTTATTGATTACTAATAGTCGAGAACTCATTCCCCATAAACTATTGAGTTTAAGATTCTACATTAAAAAAATCAGGCTTTCAACGCTAAAATTTTGTATGGAGCACGTTCTCTGCCATTAAAGTAAGACTGCTTTTGGTTTTTCTGAAAATAAACGTGACCTTCTATAGAATTTAGCAAATCCAATAACAATCTGAAGATTATATTACCAGCAGGAAGAGAGAAAAAACAAACAAAAAACGCTTCATTCTACAGCCACTTAATTAGAAGTCCCAAGAATTGGTATGGCATGCTTAAAAATTATTATTATTATTATTATTATTATTATTACTATTATTATTATTATCTTTCATTTCTGTTGTATAGACATTTCCTTCCTGAAACCTACCAGAGACCTAAGGTCAGAAATGGTTTCATAATATTTACACGGATCGTTCTTGTAAAAACTTCTTTAATTGTGAAAAATGCGAAACACCTAATCCCCTACAATATACACGCAAAAAGAAACAACTTTTAAATTCCATAGATTCTTAAAATCAGAAAAATTCCTCTTTGGCTCGGAACTTCTAAAACTCTTTGCCAAAGAGTTTGATATCATCCATATACAGTTGTTTCTTTTTTACTTTGCATCCTTAGCTATTACTGTTTTGTCCATGCAAAAGGGGGTGAAGGAAAAATAGAACAGAAGAAGCATCAGGGAGTCTACTTGAAAATGTCCTCGTCGGATATTCAAACAATTGAATGTCGCAGTAACTTTGGTGTGATTTAGGTACAATACGGTTTTCCACAATTTCCTTTGGAGCTCTAAGTAAAGTTTGTTTTTCTTATCTCTCCTGATTCCCGTTCTGTCAACAAATTGCGGAAGTTCGTTAGATATGTTATTCCATACTTTCCTTTGTCCTTCATACCATCCTGTGGATGTCAGATTATCTAAGCCCCTTTTCCTCATAATGAGGAAATTTTAACTATCTTTTTCTGATTTTAAGAATCTATGGAATTTAAAAGTTGTTTCTTTTTGTGTGTATATTGTAGTGGGGTTGGGTGTTTCGCATTTTTCACAATTAAAGAAGTTTTAAATAATAGTTTCAGACTATTAATTTTTAGTGGCAGTATATTTTGGCTCGGAACTTCTAAAACTGATCTTTAAGGTCACATGGTAGACTAAATAGGGAAGTCGTTTTTGATCAATTAAAACTAGCGTGGGGATGTTAGACAGATAGAAATTGATTTCACATAGTTAAGATTTTACTGGTCGAACAATGTAGATGTATTAAAATCGTGTCTTGAAACTTGCACCCCAGTTGGGGTGAGAGAGTAACCCCACTGGCTTGTCTGAAGATGTACCCGTCGATGTGGTGAATAAAACTAGATAAGTTAAAATCTCTTTTGTTGATATCTTTTTTTTTTTTTTTTTTTATCTCCGAACAAAAAACTGGGGATCAGCGGCCGAGAAAAAAGATACAACGTTATGGAATCGACCCCGCCAAACAAAAGACACCCGACACCTACCAGAACGATGGGGCTATCCAACAGAAGCACACAAGAACTTGGGTATTTTCTACGGTCCATTTTTTTTTTTTTTAGAAACTATAGAAAAACAAAGTTCTCGATGTCTCTTGGGTAGGTCCGTGTTCTTTTTCTCCTAGAGATGTTAGGGTAAATAAAGGATAAGAATGGTTAAAATGATCAGCATTGGAACGACCAAATTAATTACTTCATGAACGGGGATAATAAAACACGTCCGAACTCTGTGTTGGAAAATGGAAAAATAAGTTTCTGTCTTTTCCGGGAGTGGGGACATAAAATTGCGTATATGACCTGCTGTAGCATACCTACAGTCGATAATGGGTATGCGTCCAGTCCCATAAATACAATAGTGAATACTGTATGCGTGGGTAAACCGGCCTGCATTTGGAGATTCGTCTTCAACTGGGCTGGTTAAGCTCTCTCTGACTTCGGGCAGAGATCATCCCCAGACGGAGTTATGCCGAAGGGCAGTGTCTCGTCTCGGGAAACACCCACGCGACCCCGTTTTATACGGGGTCTACAGGGAAATTTTGGCTGAGCTTACGGACTCAGGAACCCCACATTAAATTTGGCCTTGTGCCACATCTGACTGCGTGGTGCACTTGGTAGATATTGTCTGCCGGCCAGCAGTTGGAGATTTGTCTTCAGCTGGGCTGGTTAAACTCTCTGCCTCCATCTTTGTTCCATCTTATATTAGCGGACAGCGTGAAGATCAAGTAGGCACAGAGAGGCTCTCTCGTGGAGCTAAACATCAGCCATTCTAATGGGAGGCAAGGAGGGTTTTGTTTTTGAGGCATTAAAATTTACCAGCCATTAACTGCCCCAGTCAACCACAGACTGGAAATCCTTTTCGAAACCGCTAAGTTTCTTCCGTTCTGCGTAAGACGATAAACTACACTCGGAAGTAAGGCCTCTGGCCGGGAGGCTTGAGGGAACGTGGAATCGCGTCTTAATTGCTGCTGTACCCAGATCCACCCTAACCTGGGGTGGTAGCAAAACACTAATAAAAGTATAAACATTTTTATAGTAAAAATGCCAGTAATATATTTTCATAGTAAAAAAAAAAAAAATTACCAGCAATATTTTTTGTAAAAAGTAAAAATAAATTAAAAACAAAAATTACCAGCAAAATATTTTTGTAAAATAAATTGCTAATATTCCCAAGGAAATTAAATTTAGGGAGCAAGTGATCCATCCGGTGTTGATATGCCGCTAAATAAAAATACTAAATAATAAATCTAAAGTTACTTTTGTCATTAAATCCAATTTAATTTCTTACTCTGGACTTAGCTACATAGAGCTGACCATGAGAAAAACAGGAATAATTTTGGAATATCTAATAATAATAATGATGATGATTATAATAATAATTGTTATTAATATTTAAACTATTTAAAGCTAATAAATAAATAAAGACAAATAGCAGTGTCTGAGTATCAACCAATGGGGTCAGTAGAAAAAAAAATTGTGTGTGCCACCACTAAGTTTAATCGGGAATCTGTTGCAAACAGTCCAGCAGGCAACGTAGTAACGGGGCCAAAAATCCGCCCTTCACTTCACGACAGTAGAAACACATACTCACCAAGCTAAAAAATCGTTCTGTCCTTGGAAAGCAAAAAACAACGGCTTTTATTCACAGGGAGATTTTCCTGATTGGGCACGCCATTTAGGGGAGGAAAGAACATTAACATAGTTTCTCTGATGCTTAAAGTAGCAGGTTTTTCCTATTTTTTTTAATTGTCCTTCGGCAGACAACGCACAAAACACAAACTCTTTTTAAGCCTAAAGCAGCACCCAAATTGCAATAAAGCATACTCCTGAGTGACCCGTACCTGAAAGAAAAATATACGGACATTGTGAAAAGATGATACGAGGCACACAATGGAAGCTCGAAATGTGAATAACTAAGAGACGTTTTAGCGACAACAGCAGACGATATCAACCCAAAGAAGAATGGACGAAAAAGAAAACAAAACAAAAACAACAAAAAAAAAAAAAACGAATGGATGACTGAGGAGATTCTCGACATGATGCAAAATAGAAAAAAAAACTCTGCCAAGATACAAAACGGAATACAGAAGACTACACAAGGAAATAAGGACCAAAAAGCAGGCAGACTAAAGAAGAGTAGCTAAACAAAAATATGCAGAAATAGAGAGACTGGGTACCACAGCTAAAGGAGATATGCATAAACAAATAAAGCAACTAACAGGGCCGGTGACATGCTCGTCAACAGGCTGCATAAAATCAAAGGATGGAACAGTCATCTTAGAGAAGGGAAACATTCTTATATTAGTATATTGAAGAACTCTTCCACGACGAAAGAGAACAACCAGCAATACACAGAACTACCGACGGACCTGAAATTCTAAAAGCCGAAGTAGAAGCTGCACTGGCCAAATTGAACAGAAACAAAGCGGCAGGGTCAGACGGAATTGTAATGGAAATGCTGGCAGCCTTAGATGAATTTGGTATAGACAAGATCACATAAGTAATAAATGAAATCTACAACTATGGGGACATACCGGAAGATCTAGGCAGATCTATTTTCATAGCATCACCAAAGAAACCAGGCGCAAATGAATGCGAGCTCGAAACAATCAGCCTAATGAGCCATGTAACAAAACACATCATCCATATTCTGATGAATAGAGTGCGTAGCAGAATCAGGCCAGAGATAGGACAAGAAGAGTTTGGGTTAGTTAAAGACACCAGAACAAGGAAAGTGATATTCTCAGAATGTTATCAGAAATGCAGAAGGACGTGCACCTATGTTTTATAATCTACGCAAAGTACACCACAAGGATCTCTTGGAACTGATCAGCAACCTTGATATATTTGGGAAAGATATTAGAATAATCAATAAACTATACTGGCAATAAACGGCATGCATGCGCATAGGGAACGAGTTCAGCGAATGTGCAAAAATAGAAAGAGGCGTAAGGCAATGGTGCATCTTCTCACCGGATTTATTCAACTTATACAACGAGGCACTTCTGAGAGAATTAAAAATCCTACCAGGATTCATTACTGGCGGCCACAATCTTACCAACATAAGATACGTAGATGACACTGTACTGATAGTAGACACGGAAAAGACGCTACAAAAGCCCCTACAGAAGGTAGTGAAGGAGAGCGAGAAGAAGGGACTAACCATAACCTACAAGAAAACAGAATGCATGGTCGTCAGTGAGAGGATGAGCCCGAAATGCGATTTGCAGGTCGGGAACACTAAAATCAAGCAGCTGCGGAAGTTTGTTATAGTGGAATACACCTATTCTATAGTTAATAGACTCTCCCACCTATAATAAGTAGGAGTAGTAAGAGTAACGAGGGAGAGGTTCGGTGGGTCGGTCAGTCAGTCGATGCCGGACGACCTTTAGTCGGATACTAAAGTACCAGCGACCACAACTAGATTTCTCTGCGTCATTACCTATTATATCAAGTTCCTAACGTTTTGTACGTCGAACCTATTTTAGGACCGACTTAGTACAAATACAAGCCTCCACTGGGAAACCACTCCATAATAAAGTTTAAATATCTGGGAAATGTTTTGACGGAAGACGTTAAGTTCGACGCTGCGATCTGAAGACGGATTGGGATGGCCAAGGATGCATTCCAAATGCTGGGCAAAGTATTGCGAAACAGGAGGGGCCGTTTCTTTGCTGGCAAGGAAAAGTGCACTGAGCTGCTACGTGACGTCCTCCTATACGGCAGCGAATATTGGACAGTCTCCTCACAGATGAAGAAGACACTCGAGGCAACGGAGATGTGGTTCTACAGAAGGATGATAAGAATATCATGTACCGAGCGTGTGAGCAACGATAAGATTTTAGAGAGGATGCAAACAAGGAAGAAACTTATACTTAACATCAGGAAGAGCCAGATGAAATTTCTGGGACACGTAATGAGAAAGTAAGGCCTGGAGAATCTGATACACACAGGTCGAATAGAGGAAAAGAGAGACAAGGGTAAGCAACGCATATCATACCTGGCGGGCTTAAGCAAGTGACAGAACATGGTCTGCGGAAGGTGGTAGAGGGTCGAAACCTAATGAGAAATACAAGGAATAGGGGGAAGTGGAGAGCCATGATCGTCTACGTTCTGAAAGGACACGACACATAAAAAGAAAAGAAGTCTTTAGCAGCAGCAGAAACAGCAGCAGCTGTAACAAAAAGAGAAAAGCTTCGGCGCGTTCAGTCAAGCATGGCAAGAAGCGGCAGCAGCGCACATCAGTACAGCGGTTAAGTTTACGGCTAGACATTCTCCACGGAGAATTGTCCCAAGGGACAATAGCATAGTGGATGAAAGTGTTGGTTCCTGAATTTGGTAACATCATAATTGTGAGCGGTCAGTGTGTAGACAGGACGAGTAATACCTGAGAAGTACTAACAATAAGAGGGAGATGAGATGTCTCTAGTTATCGGCATGGACCAAGCGGAGATTAAATAAAGGGTTCACTTCAGAATTCAACGTAGGTTACCCAGCTAGATACACACCTGAGAAGGGCCGGAGGAGACAAGAACCGAAACGTTACGATATAAACAACAAATATGAGGACAATAGTCCGAATATAAATAGTGTAAATAATGATAACTCCTCATCGCAGAAATTCATACAGAAACATCCTTGGGCACTTCGATGTGGTGTAATGGTTAGCAAGCTTGTCTCGCTAGAGCATTTACGACTGAACAGTGAGCTCGATCCTCACTGGGTGCCCCATGGTTTCGGCCTCGTGCCACATCTATGCAACGCTTAAAAAATCACCATCCTTAATATTTATCACTATTTTATTTACTGACAACACCGTGATATCAATAACAAAGATAAGAACAATAGTCCGAATATAAATTGTGTAAATACTGATAACTCCTCATCCCAGAAATTCATACAGAAATAATAATAATAATAATAATAATTGCACGTAAGGACGTCAATATTTCTTGCTTTAGTTAGAGCTGATAGACTCATTGAAGGGATTTCTGCAAGCCCATGTCTTAAAAAATCACAAAAGGTGGACTCACAATTATGAGCTGTTAACCCATTACGAGGAGCTTTATCTATGTAAAATGTGTGCAATCATGATGATTCTTTTTGTTCTTTTTTACAAAAATGCTTAATGAAAAATGTTATAAAGCCATTTCTGTCCTTACGCCTCTGGTTGGGTCCAAGAAGGAAATGTGTATACAACAGAAATAAAAGGAAATAATAATAATAAATGATTAATGGGAAATAATAATAATAATAATAATAATAATAATAATAATATGATCAGTAGAAAATGTTATGAAGCCATTTCTGACCTTAGGTCTCTGGTTGGAACCCGGAAAGAAATGTGTATACAACAGAAACAAAAGGAAATAATAATAATAATAATAATAATAATAATAATAATAATTTATACAGTAAACTTACGAATTTTTTCACTTCGCTACAGTCTTAAGGAAATTTAATTAAATAGATTATTTCGACATATTATAATTCCAATTGTCTTATTGGTTTTCATAATTAAATTAGTTATTCAAACAAAGCCATTTTCTGTCCTGAATGTGATAAGCACCTCAGCATTTAGATCATAGCTTGAGGGCAAACGGAATTGGGCAATTAATAATGTGAAATAAGCAATGCTTGCGCCGTTTCACCTGGGGCCAAATGCACATTGCCCGGTGCTAGGATTGAACTCGCAATTACTATGCCAACAAGTTTACGAATCGACGCTTTAATCCACGAAACAATTGGAGCAATAACTAAGCAGAAATAAATAGGAAGTAGACGTTTTTATCTCCCCCCTTCTCATTCTCTCTATCTGTCTCTCTCCACCTCTTTCTCCCTCCTTCAATCTCCATCTTTCTTTTTCTCTATCGCTTTCACTCTCTCTATCTCTTTTGTTATCTATCTATCTATCTATCTATCTATCTATCTATCTATCTATCTATCTATCTATCTATCTATTTCGTTCTCTCTTCATCTCATTTTATCTCTCATTCTATCTCTCTCCCTCTCTCTCTATCGATCTATCTATCTATCTATCTATCTATCTATTTCGTTCTCTCTTCATCTCTTTTTCTCTCTTACTCTATCTCTCTCCCTCTCTCTCTCTATCGATCTCTCTTTCTATCTCCCTTATCTATCTATCTATCTATCTATCTATCTATCTATCTATCTATTTCGTTCTCTCTTCATCTCTTTTTCTCTCTTACTCTATCTCTCTCCCTCTCTCTCTATCGATCTCTCTTTCTATCTCCCTTATCTATCTATCTATCTATCTATCTATCTATCTATCTATCTATCTATCTATCTATTTCGTTCTCTATTCATCTTTTTTCTCTTTTCCTCTATCTCTCTCCCTCTCTCTCTCTATCGATCTCTCTTTCTATCTCCCTTCTCTCTTTATCGTGCCATCTATCTATCTATCTATCTATCTATCTCGTTCTCTCTTCATCTCTTTTTCTCTCTTACTCTATCTCTCTCCCTCTCTCTCTATCGATCTCTCGTTCTGTCTCCCTTCTCTTTTCTCTCTTTATCGTTCCCTCTCTTTATATCTCCTATTTCTCTTTTTCTCTATCGCCTTCCTTCTTTCTCTCTATATACTCTTGCTGTTTCTTTCGTCTCGAACAAATTTCAGTAAAAATGAACTGACAAGTTCTGTCAAATTTTTTATGACTACGATGGTCGTAACTACTTGAAAAAAATAATATCAAAATATAATATCTTTCCTCCATTATACACGGTGTAATGGATAAATTGTCGTCTAAATGACACAAAAATGAAAATAACACTGACATCTCATTTTAACAGATATATTCACCAAAAATACATATGTTGAAATAATAAAGAGTAAATTTATTCAATAAAATCGTCATTGACTTCAACCACGGCCTCCACACGACTTTGGAATCTCCTGAAATTCTTCTGGACCGTCTCCTTAGTGAATGCTGCCATGGAGCTTTGTTGGTATCTCACTTAACTGTGTTCCACGCATAATAATCAATGTTTCACCCCTGGGGAGATATGACCGGAGAAATTGTCTGACAGTCAGGACAACATTCTCCTGCTTGAGTAACATGGTGCAGATTCCTGTTGCCGGACATAGAGTCTTCCAGCAGCCCCCCTCTTGACCCACTGCCTCCTCAAGACACATGATGAAGGCCTCTGTGTTGAATCTGGGTCCCTCACCAACAAATTCGGGAGTTCTTTTCTTATCAGAGCGATCAAAGTGAGTTTTTCTTAATCACCATTAGACTCATCTAACTCTTTCTGAATCCTCTGCCCTGACACACAAACACATTGAGATGTTCGTATTGGAGCTTCCAGCGTGAATGCCAAGCAGGACAGGATGTCGTTTTCAAATTTCTAGCGAAGTAAGTTGCGTCATGGTGCTCTTTTTCTCGCAGACGATGTCCATTTGACCCTACTCGAATGTGCTGTCCCCAAAATCAAAAATGAACAACGCGCATGCGCGAAATTAAAAAGATAAAAGGCCAAAAATTTACTCCTCGCACCATCTATCTATCTATCTATCTATCTATCTATCTATCTATCTATCTATCTATCTATCTATCTCTTTCCTTCTTTCTCTCTCTATACACACCCTATCTCTTTCGTTATCTATCTATCTATCTATCTATCTATCTATCTATCTATCTATCTATCTATCTATTCTCTGTCTCTTCCTATCTCTTTCTCTCTCTATCTATATATCTATCTTCATCTCTCTTCATATCTATATGTCGATCTATATACATCACTCTTCATATCTAATTCTGTTCATCTATCTATCTATCTATCTATCTATCTATCTATCTATCTATCTATCTATTCTCTCTCTTCCTATCTATCTATCTATTCTCTTTCCTCTCTGTCTGTCTATCTATTTATCTGCCTTGTTCAGTTTTTGGCCATACGCATTTATAGCAACGCATCTATAAATAGGCGCTATTTGTTGACTGGCATTTGTCATTTAGTAATGTCACGCGCATGAGGAATATTGGTTTACCAAAGGAATATCCATTTTTGTGGACTCCTCAATATTCTCTAATAAATATTTGGATATAAAATTGTCCTTAATAACCTTTTTATATATGAGATGGCTCCATAAAATACAAAAGACGCCAAAATGGTAATCCGAAAAAAAAAAAATAGCGATCGATTCTCTCGATAAAAACGGACCCCTGATGTAAACTTGACTCAATATTCCAGAGCGATTTTAGGTTGTGAGATAAGGAAAAGCTTCTGAAAAAAAATTGTTTTCTTTGTTTTTTAAACGTGAACCTGTTAAATATCCCATAAGAGAAGATAGAAGATTTGATAAATTCAAAACCCAAAAGACGTAAAACACCTGCACAAATTCAGATATATGTAATCTAGGCAGAGGAAAAAATTCTGAAATCCCCATAAGATTCTCTCACCTGTTACCCTCACCTTAACACACCATTAACATTAACACAGCCATGTTTTAAGGACAGGTCAATTAGTTAACTTCGTTTCTGAAACCAGGTACATCAATAAGCTAAATAAATGATCAAAGACCCAGAACCAAAGCTCATCGACCACTTACCGACCTCAATGTAAACCCAGGAAAAATAGGGGTTCTAGAGGTCAGTTATCGCTAGTCTTTCGCCAGAATGCGGCACAGAATGGTTCACTCCACTCTAATAACATGAGAACTAATCAGGATGACTGCTCTTTAGAAGGAGGGATTTTTCTCTTTTTCTCTCTCTTTTTCTTCTATTCACTCGCTTTCTCTTTCTTTCTCTCTCTCTCTCTCTCTCTCTGTCTCACACACACACTTTCTCTGTCTTAACGCACCGCAAGCTATTAACTCTATCGTACAAGGAGGACCAGTCAATTATGTGTCATGCGTGATGTACGATTAGGCGATCATGTATCGATACATGACTGGTAGGTTGCCATTTCTTTCTGCGGTAGACCAGCTGCCATCCAAGGCTATATAAACCTGTCTGTCCTGCTATTTACTCATAGCTGGGGGAGAGAAGAAGAGGATTCATACCTTTTCCAAGGGTATTAGCACGTAAGTGAATGTAGTGGATTTGAACAGAATTCGAACTCGGCTCTCCAATTTCTCAATCCGAGCCGCTATCTATTACTCCATCATTTTGTATTCATAAAATGAAAATTTCCCCCCCAAAACCTTCCAAAGCTACGTACGCTTAGTGTTCATTTATTTTGAATGCAAAAAAAAACAACAAAATTCTGCGTCAACAGACATATAGGCAACGTTGACATTTTGACACGTTCACAAAATTTTAATTTCTTTCCAAAATATTCTTGAAGTATTTGAAGGTTTTTTTTTATTTAAAAATAGAAATGGCGATTTGTCATATTCTGTCTCTTTTCCTAATTCTCTCGATTTCTTTCACTGTTTCTCCTTAGCTCTCTCTTTCTCTCTGAATTTACTTCGCTTTTCCTGTTACTGGGAATTTTCGGCGTTCAATTGGAACAGTTTAAGTTTAAAGTCAACCCACCGAAAAATCAATCTTAGTAACCACAATTGGGTACAACTGAGTGGCTCAAAACCAAATAAAGGGGGGTTAACAATTTGAATGGGGGATGGCCCTGAAAAGGACCGTTTTTGCGTTCTCAAACTTGCAAGGAAGGAACCTCTTCCATGGACCGTCATAATAATAATGTACGATAATTTTTATTTATAATATAATTTTTTTTATAATTCCAATAATCTTTTGCGTTAGATTTTAACTCTCTAAATTGATTGTATGCTGTTTTTTTTTTACAGACATTAAATTTTGCCTTTGATTTTTGCGCAAAGTGTAAAAAAAATCAGTTTTTACGAATTTTCACCTTCAAGGTTGTAATTTTTCCCAGCCAATTTGGACCAAAACCGGCACTTAAGAATTGTCTATCAAACCAAAAAAAAAAAAAAAAAAATAATCGAGATCGGATGAAAACTGTGGAAACACATAAACAACATCCGATCACACACATACATACACACATTTTGAGAATTATATATATATATATATATATATATATATATATATATATTTGTGTGTGTGTTTGTGTGTGCGCGTGGGTGTATGTGTAAATGTTCTCAAATGGAGTTTATCTGTAAAAGAGACAAAATGAAGGAAAAGGAGGAAAACTATATTTTGATTTTAGCTGACGCCTTTCGTCATAAGACGGACTTATATAAGTATATATATATATATATGACAGTTACTCAAACGTTTTAAATTTAGGATCGCTCATAAATATTCATCAGCTTAACTGAAAGGTTTATGCGTTAGAACCTAGATTATATAGCATAGCATATAGCATCTTCAAAAGGGAATTTTTAAATTTCAAGAAACCTCGTAGACATTTGTTGCAAAATGAAACCATCACTTTTGCCGGGATAAAGAAGTCCGTCAGATGGCGAAACGAGTTGGCTAAAAACTAAATATAGTTTTCCTCTTGCCTCTTCATATATATATATATATATATATATATATATATATATGGACAGCAGATCATTGTTAAAACATATATTATTAAATATAACAGACAACGAATACCCATTATGCTTTATCATGAGCCGTTCCAAGCGTCGTATAATGGATTTAGTTTCAAGTGAAATAAAGACAAAAACTGTCCAACATTTGGATATTTCTTTATTATATTGGTCGTCAATCTAATGTTTAGAGCCATCATCAGAGTGGTTATATGGACATAAGACCAGAAAGGTTACAGGTAAGTCTACGAGAGAGCGTGATTGTAGTAAAACCCATGTATGTAGTGGCTTTATTAGTAGTATCAGAGATACAATCTCTGAACGGACATGTAAATTAATACACTACGTCGTTTTTTTTTTTTGTAGAGGATTTAGCTGTGTGGGTGTAAGGTTATTGGAGACTATGAGGTCAATTGTTTAAAATATTTTTTAATATATCATGAGCTTTACTAGTTTATTACTATTAATGGAATTAACATTTCTAGCTATTATGTTTTTGCGTCTTGTTTCATCATCTTTGTGATTATTATGCATTTGGTTACAATAGTATAAGTTAATAGTATTATGTCTATATCGACCTACACTATTATGGTTATAATTATTATGAATATTATACATTTTGTTAGTGGTATTATTAAGTTTATTGAGCCACATTTTAATTTGTTGATCAATGGCGGAATTCGGGAATCAATTATTAACGTGTGTTTGTTTAATGTTATGTAATTCTTTATAGTATATGGTTTTTGAAGAAGTGCGTTGGATTAAGTTATTTTAAAAAAAGCTAACTTATATCGTTGAGGGCATTCACTATTATAATTAAGAAGGCACGAGTTAATGCTAGTGAGTTTTCTATATAGAGAAGTAGTAAATTTATGTGTGCTGGAATCAATAAGTACATCAAAGAATGGAATTTTATTATTAACTAGCAGTAGAGCCCGGCATTGCCCTGGGATGTAACAGTAAGAGATAGATCAAGTATCAACTATCATAAAGACTGAAAAATAAAATTGACAAAGATTATTGTTTAAGGTTGACGGACACGCGTGTCTTAATTAGTTTTTTATTTATTTATTTATTATTTTTTTACGAATTGGTCAAACCCAAACTCAAACAAAAACATTGTTTTCAATCGTTATGAGTCTACCGATTGAATAGAATTTTATTATAAACAATTGTCTTGTAAATGTAATTTTTAAAGCATTCTGAACGTAAAAATAAAGAAAAAAGTGTGCAAGACAATAAGAAACACTACCTGCCAAGAAAAGTGAAGTTTTGTTGAAAAGTATTGAAAAATGTAGAAAATCCGATCCCATATATAAACGAGCACACACACACACACACACACACACACACACACACACACACACACACACACACACACACACAAACCACCTGGGTTTTATAATAAGTATAACTCGATATGAGATGTCCCCTTTCATTCTCGCGATAGCGATGCCTTTTCAAATTGAATTCGTGCAAAAATAATTGTGTTTTTCCAATTTTTGGCGCTGTCAGAACCACCGCAAGGTAATTTTACGTAGTTCTGCGAAGTTTTGTTGAAATCGGTTGAAAAATGTAGGAAATCCGATCCAATATATAAACGAACAGACACACACACAACCTGGGTTTTATAATAAGTATGATTATTAACGCTGTGTATTTAATATTATTCTTTAATCAGTCTTCAGGGGTGGTGGTTTTAAACGCTGTTTACAATTTTTTTTTCAATTTTTTCGCTTTATTTCGCGTCTTTTTCAATCCGCTTTTTTAATTCCGTTTTCTACACGTTCGTATTCATGAATTTAACGTTCTTTTACGCGTGAACGTTCACGAAATTTTGCTGTTGTTTACGTATTTCGTTTTTTAAGCTGTAGATTTTTTTTTCAGTTGGAAATTTTTAATAATTGATTTATAGAGGAGGAATGTTTAATATCAGAAATTTCTAGTTATTGACAGTCTGATCATAGGAATCAACACTGCTTGGTGACAGTCAGTTTCACGTTTCAGTGTGATAAGCAGAACTCGATTATAGCACTGGCAGTTACTCTTTTAAGTTATAATTCAAATCTCTCTCTATGTGTGATAGGTTAAGCAGGAAATGTTTATAAATTGAACAATTTTCACTTTTATTTCAGCTTCATCAGAAAATAAAACATGGAGGAGAAAAGAAAATTCTGGTGTTTTTAATTTAGTGTTTTTTTTTAATTGTTTAAGTAGGCTTCGCGATTATTTGTCTTGTCAAGTAGTGTTTGTATATATAATTGCCGCAGAGACCAACTAGAATTATGATACACAAACATACAAAAATTATGCACACGAGCGCTACTTCACAATACAAATACACGTGTGGTCGACTTTGTATGTATACATATGTTGAACAATTCTTTTTCCTTGTGAGATTCAGGACGTTGTTGATCATGGCTCCCAACAGCTTCTTGCCATTTATAAATACATTGTATC